CAAAATAAAAATATGCATTGGAGCATCCTAGTGACTGTAATTATAATTTCATTAGATGACTCCAGGTTCTGTGGATTGGGTTGGCACTGCCTCGTTGTAGTCTGGAAATAATGTATTTTGACAACAAAGAAAAGGGGGAAAGAGCCACCAGGCACATTCTGGTCTGTTTAACACTGGAGCAAGCCAAACCTGTAGGAAGTCCCTGTGTGCTCTTCCAGACTTTGGATCCTGCTAGCTGGAATGTATTTAAAATCCCCCACTAAAGATCGTAATGAATTTAATTTAGCATCCTCTAGTCCGGGGAAATGTTTTGAGTCATAAAAAGTATCGTTAAGAGAGAAATGACTGCCAAATGCATTCTATTCTGTACCAGTGATGCATATTTATATCATTGGCTCTTAGACATTCGTTTACTTTTCTGCAAAGATGATCCTTTATCACTTAGGAGGTTTTGATATTGTAGCTTCCCGAATGAAGCTTTCTACAAACAATTATTTTAATTTAAACTTGCAGCCATTTGTCAGGCTTTGTGCAATGAAATGCCCAATTTTTAAAAAGAGGGTTACATTCTACAACTAAATTACTAGCAGAATGGGTCTCCTCTGCTAGGGGAAAGTGTTGTGTAGCTTATTTAATGTTTAAATGTATTTGCCTTTCATCCAAGGATCTCTAAGCACTTGAGATACATGAGTTTTGTTAAGGTAGCTAAAATTACTGAGTTCAATGTTAAATGAATCATGAGTGCAGACAGCTACTTTTACTTAAAAGCTGGCGCGTATTCACTAGTATACGTTCAAGCAGCTAGGGCAAGGCCTCCAAGGCTCTGGACACGTGGCTTAATGTATTTGTGAAGATTCATAAATATTCTAAAGTTGTTGGGAATTGCAAGCTTCAAGTGCGGGGGTGGGCAAAACATGGCCTGCAGGCCAGATCCAGCCAGCCACTGTCCTATGACCCAACACAATGTTCGGGTGGCTTCCTGCCTGCCATGCCACCATACACCACTCAAAGCAGATGGCTGCAGGGGCCACGTGTGCCTCTGCATGTTGCATGCCATGGAGAGACCTTTGCACACTGCCACCTCCTTCAACACAACCTTGTAGCACCCATTGGCCTATTTCTGACCATGTGGAGTTATCTGGGCCGGGCTTGTGCCGCAGGCTGTGTCCAGACAGTTCCTCCCCCTCAAGGGGCTTTAAGCAGCGTCCTGCTGGGCTCCTGGCTGGAAGCCACCTAAGGTAAGCGTCTCCTGGCCAGGGCCTGCACCTGGTACCTGAGGCCCTCCTCCCAACACTTGTAACCCTCTCTCCTGCACCCTGCCCCAGGTCACAGCCCAAACTCATTGCATCCCTGCTCCTGTACCTATTAACCCTGCCAGATCTTACACTCTTATCCCCTTTGCCAGGTCACAACCCCTTTCTGCCCTATGTCACAACCCAAACCTCTCCTCCTCCTCATTCATCCCTGCCCCCAGTCATAACCCCCTCTCATACCCTGCACCTGCTCAGGTTAGAATCCTCTCCTGCAACGATAATCCCCCCCGGATCCCTTCCTGCACCCCAACCCTAGGTCACAACACCCTCCTTTACCCACCTCCATCCCTGACCCCATACCTCCTCCATTAATAGCATGGAAGACTACAGCCCTTAACCACTTACCTAATTCTTGGAGGGCCTCCCCGATCAAAAATTATTGCCCACCACCGTTCAAGTGCTTCAGTTTGTTGGACACCTGCATTGCTTTGTTTTTAAACAGCACTCAGTAAAGGATAAATCTGTGTCCCATGCTACTACTATTTTTGTTATTTTAGTACAATAATCAGCAGGGAAATGAAGCTTTGGCAAAGGGGAGGCAGGTTTTGCAGATCAGGTGACATAAGAATATAATATACAGCAGGTAGAAGTCACAGGGAAAAGATCAGTTTGTTTTATATGTGAGTTCATGTCACTGATCTTCATTAACATTCATACACAAATGTTTAAGTGCATCTGCATATTACACATCAAATGCTATCCCCCACCTGCCCCCTGAGCTTATATATAAATTCAAATTGATTTCAGCTGTAACTCAGTCAAAATATTTGATACATTATATTAAGATCTGAATGAGAATGTAAAGCTTTTCCTTGGAGGTATGAAGTAACGCAAAGTGTATCTGAACCAAATGCTAGAATAAAACATGATTTTTTGTCAGCATGTTTGTGTGGTGCTCTCTGCTAAAACAATGACTGGTTTTGTATGTGTAAAAATGAATTACTTGTGCTTCTAAAAATGACAAAATTTACAGAGAAACTATTCCGCCGCCCCATCCCACCTCCACAATACTGCAGAAGGGCACAAACAGCTCATTTTTCATTTGCTGTACACGTGCCCAAATAGTCAATTCCTCCAGAACAGATATGTCTAAGTAATATAGGGAGGACTCTTACACACTTGGCAGTTTGGACTCAAAATAAAGGTCAGAGTCAAAAGATACAAGATAAAAATTAGAAGTCCCTGGGCATTATGTTAGCTCCATAAAAATGAATCAAAAACACTGTTTGGTTTCAAAGGATTAGATCTTTGAAGCAGAGTCTTCAATTCTTTGATTTTTATGTATTCTGGCAAGATAAAATAACTTGTAATTAAAAAAATCAAAACCACAAATGGATTTACTCTACAGGAAACAAGCTTTTGTAATGTGGTAAGAATTTGTGTGCAGATGCTTTGGTGATGAGGTCCATATAAGTAACCAGATTGCAGAGTGCAAAAATTAGTCTAAGCCCAATAAAACCTCGTTGCTATTCTATAATAAAGGATGCTAATTAAATAAACAATCCATCAGAAAAGTTCTTACTCCAGACATTTGTTTTGCTCTTCTCTGCCATGTCTCTTTGGTATTTACAGGTCTGGGAGCAAAGAAAAACATTAAAGTCTGGAGCTCTGCACCAAGGTTGCAACAAAAATGGGAGGCGAGGGACAGGCAGTACAAAAATGCACAAGACAGCTACAGAGAGACTGGTGTAGGAATGTGGTGGGGCGAGGAACTGAGAGAATGGGATGACAGATGATGAGTCCACACTGTCTCATCTGGTCCCCTACCCAATTAAGCAGTTTCCTACTTCTCCTTTTCACAGCCTCTTTAAATATAGGACTATTGATCTCTGAGAGATCCCCGCTCCCCCCCACCCCCCAATCCTTTAGGGCAGTAGTGTCCTCTAAAATTAAATTTCATTAAAATGTTCTGGGGGAAAATTCTCAGAAAACTGGGTTTTCGATCCATCAGGGTGTCAATGGGAGGAGAAATTCATGGCAGTCCTTTTAGAACAGAAGGGAAATGGGCCTCCTATTAAGAAAATGAACCTCTTTATTCAAGAACCAGGGGAAAATAAAATTACTGTGAAAACTGCCATTCTTAGAACATTGAATACACACCAGTGTTCCTTCTAATTTTTTTCACCTGTATTTGGAATAAATTTTATGCACACAAAGGCAGGTGCAGATGTGCACCACCAATAGAAACACAGGATACCGGCTCTGGACAGCTGTGGGCACTCTGCTAATAGCTTGTAGCCACCCAAGGGCTCAGCTTATAGAGAACACTGAAACACACACTGCTTGTTTTTGAGTCCTGGCACTTGAAACCTTGTATTTTTTTGTACATTCATAATTTTGACTCTGGTAAAATACTGGTTTTCAAGCCAACAAATGTTATCTACTGCACTGTTTTAGAATTCCACGTCTCCCTAAAGTGATCTTATCCTTTCCATTCCATTCTTCTCTTTTGCTGTCTATTATTTCAGAATTAACAGGAGGCAGGGTCTAGCTATGAAGCTAAATTTACTTAAAAGAATCAACAGAATGATGGTTTCTGTTGAGAAAGCAGGTTAGATTTCAGCAAGGTAGATTTCTCTACCTTTCCGACAAAGCAAAGGATAGAGAAAATCTGGTAAAAATGTGCAAGACTATTCTATAACTGTAGGGGAGGCAGACTTTGCTGCTACCATTAAGTGTTTTATACAAGGCACCTTGGCTGACAAGGGGAGAAATAGTGGCAACTGTAAACTCTTGATTTTTTAATACACTCTTCTTGGAATATTTATATTTGAATTTGTGATGCTGTCACATGAGAAGTTAGGATTTCCAGCATTTGCTTCCATATTGGCTAAAGTTGAGTAATTTCCTTCCCTCTCTCCATCTCCTTGTGCTACCACTGTGTAAAAAGTACTTTGATAGATTTCTTCAAATGCTGCTCTCATGAGAGACTCTGTTATTGCTGTTTTTCCATTGAAGGGTTCTCTATAAGGGCAGAAACCTTAGATATGTACTTAGATAATGTTTCCTTTTAAAAAAAAATGCAGCTAAGACAGAGTAATGAAGTGACACATTATATGTAAATATAGACTGATCAGATATCACATTTTGGAACACATTCTGTATTCTCAAACGGCTTACATTTTTGTCTTTTCTGTGTCATTTACATTCATGAATTTAATTCCCAACATATATCTTTTTAATTACCCTAAAAAGATCCATACATACTTTACTTAAAAATATCTTCTGTAAGAGGAAAATTACCAAAAATAATGCCTAATATACTGTTATGCATACTTTTTTTTGTAAAATACAAACAGTCTGATCTCTTCTGGGTATTGCCTGAACTAATATGGCTATATTTGTTTAAAGGAAGAAAAGAGAAAAAAAATGTAGGAACAAAAAAAAAAAAAAATCATCCCATTCTTTCCAAAGATACAAATATCAATGAGAGAACACCTGAAAGTTAATAAGTGCCAACAGGTAGAAATAAATACAATCTCATACAACCTTTATCCAATCATAAACTGCAATGACCTTGAACCCGTTAAAATATTTGCTACTGGCAGGAAAAGCTGTCAAGCAAAACACTGAGAAATTGGTACCCTTTCCTACACAGTAAGTGCAGAACTGAAAGACTAAATATTTTATGATTTGTTTCATATGTTTTTTTTCCTCCCCCCTCTCTCTCTCTCCCTTTGCTCACAGGACTGATTGTTGCCACTCTGGCGATCTGTTGGATGCCCAATCAGATTCGAAGGATCATGGCGGCTGCTAAACCTAAGCAGGACTGGACTGTACCCTACTTCAGAGCATATATCACCCTTCTTCCCATTGCAGACACCTTCTTTTACTTCAGTTCGGTGGTAAATCCACTCCTGTACAATATCTCTTCTCAGCAGTTCCGAACCGTATTTCTACAAGTCCTCCGGTGTCGTCTGACGATAGAACATGCCAACAAGCAGAAGCTTCTGAGAGCCAATTATAATTCTCAAACCAGCAGTGGCCGCTTTATGCGTCCCTTGATCTTCATTTCATCTAAACGCAGATCTTCTAGAAAGAACCCTGTTGTCTTAAGTACTTTTCAGAACGAGACCAAACCTGACTGCAGTCCGCAAACATTGAATCTTGAAACACTGGAGTCCAGATTGGAAACAATGCCACTGGAGGCTAATTTAGAGTCTAGTCCAGCTGCACAGAATGGCCTTCATGAACACGAATGTGACTCCGTGTAAGACAAAGTTAGATGACTATCAATAAACTTAACATGGAAATTTAAATCACTGAGGAATTAGAAACTGAACAATTAACTATATCTTCTTTAAGTGCTGTTTCTGATAGACTTGTTTCCAATTACACAAATGGAGCATGAGGTTTGTGTGCCATGTATTTTTTAAAGTGCACACTAGAAATTCAATCCGGCAACTGAATTTATGAATTGCTGACCAAAAGGGGGGGGGGGAACAGGAAGAAGAAGAGAGGGAGGAGGGCAGTTCTTGGACCAAACTCTTCTTTAGTGATATGGCAGCAAAAGAACAGCAGTGCCTTTCAAAAAAGGGGGACAAAGAACAAATTATGCCAAGACAATTTAGCAATGCACTGATGATAAAAGAGCCAATTTGAAGAGCAAAATAGTAGTTAATATGCCTGCCTTGGGCACTGTGCCAGAATTCCCCCTCTTCTTGGGCCGGGGTCCATTGCAGAGCGGAGTATTGCAGCAGCTGATACAAACAGAGTTCATTTTCCCCGGGGAACAGAATGACTGGTATCCAGCAGAAGCTATGAGACAGGCTGCCGAGGATGCGCAGGATTTGCGATAGAGGATTCCTGTGACACAGAACAGAAGTTACTTAGCTTGATATGAACATGCTTTTGCTATTCATTAGAATCCTGTCTGAAGAGTCTGAGACACAGTTAGGAATCTTAGTTGAAATTTTAAAACCAATGTAGGAGATTTAGTCTTATCACATCCAGAAGTTAGAACAGCTGTGTGTGTCTAAAATCATTGCTATGAAAATCTCTGTTTTAGGTTTTTTTAATGTTGTAAAATATATCATGTGCATAAAAAGGCATACATTTTACAACCAAAAATGTAATCCCTGGGAATGCTTGTTAAAAGGTTTGAAGCTGAAATCTAGTCTACTTCGAAAGGCACTCGAGTTTCAGATACTTTACAGGCCTGAGTCGCCTGGCACATTTTTTTAGAGAATCAGAATTCCCATTTTTTTCAATGTTTTAAAAATGTTGCTCTTGCTTATTACTTTGTGGAAAAATATTCAAAGAAAAACAAGACTGACTTGGGAAGGCAGAAAGGACTAAACACAAAGCACTGTTCAATGCACAAGGAAAACCAACAAACATTTCTCTAATCATGTTCAGTTCCAATTATTTTTAGGAGAGAGTAAAAACAATTGGAAGAGAGATGATACTTTGTTAAAATTGAAGGTGTTCTTTTAAAAGCTAATATCTAAAACTGTTTTAACTAAACAAAACTGAGTACATTCTATATTGATGTGTACAATGCCATATTTTAAAAGGTTGTAAAATAAACAGTTATTAACAATGTTCCTTCTTACTTTTTCTATCCATGAGCAGAATACATTTTGTTATGTACACCAAGGCATGTGCAGGTATGCACCATCAATAGAAACACATGTTGCCAACTATGAGAGGCTGTGGGCAAATCAGCTGGGTGGCACCTGAATCTCTCCTGGATGGCAACCCAACCACTCAGCTTACAGGGAATACAGGTTATGACTACTCAGTACTTCAAGGGCCTTTCCTTTATGTGATCAGACTGAAATGTGGCTTTGGGTATGGCACAGAATACAGCTGTGAATCATTGGGGTTTCTTTTGCCCAATTTACCTGGGGAGGAGGCGGCGGCAGCGGCAGGAGGAGGAGGAGAAGGGATCACATGTTTGAAAATTAATAAAAACCTTATTCCTCTACAACAGGAAGAGGAATCTTATGGGTTGAGGGCCAAAAAAACCCTGCATTGACCTGGCCCCTGACTGAGAAGGGGAAAGACACTCCCCCCTTTCTCCTCACACACCAGAGCCTGGGGGGATTCAGCCTAGTTTATTTTTTGTGCTCCAGCCCCATGGTTGGGGGCAGGACTGGAGTGTCTGCAGGCTTCCCAATGATGAGAGAGGGTCCTGAGCCTCAAGGGCTGGTTTCTGGCAAGCTGGGGGCCGCATCCAGCCCGTGGGCATTAGAATCCCCATCCCTGTTCTTACAAATACCTTGAGTAGGATTTTTAAAAGTGTTCATGTCAGTTGGAGTAAAGTGAAGTCGCTAATGAATGCTTTTTAAAATCCCTCCCAGAAGCCTTTTGATTTTTATGTTCAAGACTGTCTTTATGAGAGGAAAGGGAATGCCATAGCTAAAGAAAAAAATGCCCAGCATGCACATTCCGCTGCTTACCTCTTAGTTTCCTTGCTCCGTAATAACATCCCCACCAGTACACTGTGATGGTTGGCTTCTAAAAGGGTTTTTTGTTTGTTTTTAAATATTGTATTCATTAATCAGTACAACTCAAATCTCTTTACCAAGGCAAGGAAGTATCAACATCCCCATGTTCCAGATGACACAAACGTCACAGAGCAGGTCAGTGACAGTTGGGGTTAGAATTCATGTCTCTGAACACCAGCTTTTGGACCATGCTGCTTCCTAGCACAAAGATTTTCAAGCTGTATCTCTGGTTTGTTGCTTACTCTTCCTCACCCCAACCCCTGTCCCCTCAGCAGCACTATAATAACAATGCTCAAGATTAAGCTTTTATGCTAATCATAATGTGCAGTTCTGAAGCATAAACTTATGTATAACCAAATTAGCTGACAGGAAAGCACTTAAGTGATACCTAACTTTAAATACATACTTAACTTCCACTAACTTGAGAAGAATTAAGCATAATTTTAAACTTACATACAAACATCTTTAACCCTCTCTAAAACCTGCCACCCATTAATGGGTCAGTAAATTATGTGGGCAAGTTTGTTCTTAGGTAGGCTCAGATAAGGCTATTGAGGAGTCACTGGAAGAATTATGTGCCCATGTACACAACCCAGAAAGGGCTCCTTGAGGTTGAACTCTAGGGCTGTGTCTACAATGGCACAATCTTGCGCCAAAGCGGTCGCTTTTGCGCAAAAACATGCTGCCTGTCTACACTGGTGGAGAGTTCTTGCGCAAGAACACTGACGTTCTAATGTATGAAATCAGTGCTTCTTGCGCAAGAACTATGATGCTCCTGCTCAGGAATAAGCCCTCTTGAGCAGCTGTTCTTGCGCAAGAGGCCAGTGTAGACAGGCAACATGAATTTCTCATGTAAGAAAGCCCTATGGTTAAAATGGCCATCAGAGCTTTCTTGCGCAAGAGAGCGTCTACACTGGCACGGATGCTCTAGACTTGTAGGGATAACATATCAATGTATTAAAAATGTGATTCCCCCAAATGGAAGTGACTCCCCATAATTTGTTCCCCACAACTTAAAATGTTTAGATTTATTATTAATTCTTATTATTATTATTAGTTAAGATTGTTAAATGTTTAGATTTATTATTATTATTGCCCCTTTAGAATATGATGTATTAGGTCATGTAACTTAGAACTGTTAAGAATATAATCCTATGTAGCCAGAAACAGCCCCCCCTCAACCCCCCCGTCTGTGCCCCAGGGCATGCTCAAGCTTGTGCAAGGGGCTGCTTGAAATTGACATTGCAGAGATACATTGTAACAATGCATTGTCAAGCCACTAACTCTG